CAGACCAGCCAGGCCACTGCTACTCCAAGGCCTCGGCTGGCTGAGCTGGGCATAATGTGCACAGGTTGCTGAGGGGGCTTTTCCTGCTTGTTTTCAAACCAGGGGACTCCCAGAGTCATGACATTAGGCACAGAATTCTCCCCAACACCAGCAAGAGCTGCTCAGCCTCCCTGGCAGAAGAGAGCAACACTGGCAGGGCCTTGAGTTTCTGCTGCTGCTTCTTGGCTTGCTCTTCTTTTGTTTTCCCCTTCTTCCCTTTCCTCCCTTTCTCCTCCTTGTTTGACCCTGCAGACTGCGGTTACACACAGAGGTGGGTCAGAGCCAGGGCCTCATGTGGCTGCACCCCAGGGGGAGGCAGAGCCCCCCTCTCTCACCCCCAGCAGCTTCATGATGAGCTCCCGGTCCTCCTCATCCTGGTCCTTGTACTTCTCCTTCATCTTCTTCATCTTGCTCTGCAGAACAAAACACCCCAAAAGGCTCTAAATACATGGAATTTTGCATCCACAGACCAACACCCAGAAGCTGATCCCACATGAACTTTCCTTCCAGGTCTCCTGAACCCATTTCAGAGCAGCTCACCAGTAACCAAGAGCCTGTGGTTTCAGTGATGGGGCTAACAGCCCAGCACCATCATCCTGACACCACTAAGACTCCAAAACTATCAGGCAGCCATGGACACCTGACAGAAACCTGTTTTTTCTGTCCCCATTTCACACAGAACTGCTGGATCCAGGGGTCAGCCTGGTCCCTGCACTCACCTTCTGCCCCCGCTTGATGGGCTGAGGGGCTGGGACACCCTTATTGCTGTTGGGAGCAGGGGGGGGCTGTGTCTCTGTCTCTTTCTGCTTCTCTTCAGGAGGCTCCAAGTTCTCAGAGTCATTTTGCTGCTTCTTTTTCTTCATTTCTCTAAGGAAAACAATCCCTCTTCTTGTCACAAAGAGAGGCTGCTGCTCTCCTGCCACCTTTACCACCCTGCTTCCCTGCCAGGGCTCCAGGGGGAACAGCCCCTCCTGGGTGAAACCTTCTTGGGCCCATGAGTACACAAGACTCAGTTTCTTCACAACCAGCACTCCCAAAGGACAGGAGCAGCCACCATCCAACAGGCAGGACCCACACTGGAAATGCAGGATGGGCACAGACCAGCCCTGACAGGGAGGGGAAAGACATGCCCTGTGCCCAGGTCCTGCAGAGGGAACGGGAAGGAGGGATTCACCTCTGCCAAAACAGAATGGCTCTCACCTCCTCTCCTTGGCAGACAGATGCCGTCGCCCCTGGGACTTGCTGTCACTCTAAGAAGTGAAAGACAGTTAGAGAAGACCATGTCCAGCAGCAGCTCCCACTGCCAAACATCTGAGCTGGGACCTTACCAGGTTGGGTTCTTCCTCTTTGGGGACGATTTTCTGCAGGGCTCTGTGGGGAGATCAAAATGGAGCTCATCAGTGGATGAAGAGCAGCTCAACCACAGCCACATCCCCACAGCCCAGACACTGGCCAGCTTGGCTGCATCACTTCCACCCTTCTGGTTCTTGAAAGTCCCAGCTCTGGGGAATGGAAAAGGGCAGCAATACCAGGCTGAGTTTACAAAACAAGTCTTCAGATCCCTGCCAGTTTGTCTCATGCACACACACACAGACAAGCAACAGAGGCAGTACATGCTGAGGGAACCCCTGGAGATCAGCTTCCCATGCACACAGTCCTGCTCAGCTCTGGTATTCCCTGCAGAGCTGTTGCCTTCCACCCACTCAATCCCATCTCCTCACAATCCCTAAGAAGTCCCATTTCCAGGAACAACAGGGAGATGAGTTCATCTCACAGCCACATGCAGAGCAGTAACTCAGCCCCAGCTTGGCAGAGGAGAAACAACTCACGACTCAGTTTCTCAGGTCTGAACAGCTCTGAAAAGAAACTGGGGGCAAACATCTGAGGAGCACAGTCAGTGTGGGGGGGTCAAGGGTGCTCAGGCCAAAACTGGGAAGAACAGTGACCAAGCAGCCAGACACCCTGAAGCAGGGAAGGGGCAGCTGAGTGCACATGTGGGTGTGCTTCAGGAGGGGAGTCCAAAGCAAAGAGCCCAGAAGGAAGAGCCGTGCAGGGAAGTGTCAGGGAATGGCACAGTGAGGCAGCATTCCCAGGCACAGACTCACTGCCCTATGCTCTGGCAGCCTGCAGAGCTGAGCATGGGAAGAAGTGATGGCAGCTCCTCGTGGGCCTTGTCTTGGCAGCATTTTAACCACATGGAGACCTCAGGAGTGCCCACACTGCCGGTAAGAGCAGCAGCTTCTTCACTCACCTCTGAGACTGAAGATGTGACAGGTCGATTGTCGTATCTGGGTAATTCACCTCTTCCTCCTTCACCTCATTCTTCACCTCCGTGTGTTCCACTTCATCTTCAGATTCCCCATCCTCCTCTTGGGAGTCACCCTCTGGTGCAGGAGGTGTGTCTCCTCTGCCCTGCTCGGGGTCAGCAACACCCTCCTCACGGTTGCTCTCAGACGTGGCTTCCACATCTCCCAGTGCTTCCTGACACTCTGCTTCTTCCTCTTCACTGCTGCTCTCTCCTCCTTCTGGGACACACAGGTGAGGAGGAAAACAGCTCAGGAAGCCAAACCAACTCAGGCAGGGCAGGAACCAACTGCCAAAGCCCCAGCAGCCCCATCCACCAGCAGGACACACACAGCACCCCAGTCACACCCACAGTACCTAAGAGCTCCACTTCCTCAGACACCAGCTCCCCAGCACTGCTGGAAACTGTCTCCAGATCCTCATCCTGTGCTTTGATCTTCCTTTCCTCCCGGTGTCTCCAGACACAGCTCTCATCCACCTAACAACAGAGGGGATGAAATGTTAGGCCAACACCAGCAATGTTCCCTACCCCCTGCAGAGAACACCTGACTCAGCTTCATTCCTTCCCTTTGAACACTTCATCCTCTCCCTTTGAACACTTTCTGCCATTCAAAAGGCAAAAAAACCCTAAACCAGCACATTTAAACCCAAGTCTGACAAGGCAGAAAGCAGTGAGGAGACAGACAGAGCTGCACAACCATCAGGCTCCCTAAACATGCACATGCCTCAAACAGAGCTGGTATAAAAATCTGGCAGAGGCAGCAATGTTCAGAGTGCCTGCTTGATTTAAATGAAGACAGAGCAAGCTGGGGGAAATGGAAAAGAAAGCAGAGTCATTTTCAGCAAGTAGCCCTTTATGGGATTTGTCCCAGTGGGAAAAGAAGCAATTGGGAACACACTGATCAGCAAAAATCAGAAAATAAGCCTCCCACAGCTCAAACCAAATTACAGAAGCCAGCAGGAGCTGCATGGAGAAAGCAGTACCTTAAACAAGAAGCTAAAACCCATCATCAGATATGAAGGTGGAAGAAAATTCTTCTTCCCTGAAAAACAAAGGCAGGTTGTGATGAGGAGGTGCAGCTGCTGTTACACCATGGATTTTCAAAATTCATTTTGATTAAGGGCTCTAGGCTACCAAAAGATCACACTGGGGGTTGTGCTATCACTGGGATGGCAATGAAACATGAGAGAACTCCAAAGCAGCTTAATTAATGATCCTCTGCCCAGGGTCTCAGCTGGAAATGCTGCTGCAGCTGCCTGATGTTCAGCCTAAGCTTCTGAGGACAGTGTCAGGAGCAGAGCAGGATCTGTGAGGATCTGCCCAGTGAGGGGGGCAGCTCCAATGGCTGCTGCTGCAGGACAGCACAGCTTCTCCAGACAAAATGCCTGAAGCCAAGTTCACCCTGTGCCCTGGTGTCTCACCTCGGATCATGAAGCTTCCAGTAGTGAGGTATTCTCCTGTGGGGGCAGTTTTTGAAACCTAAAAGCAAAATCATGACATGCTGTAAAGGGTACCTGTCATAGCAAACCAACACTGTGCAACAGCATCAACAAAAGCAAGGTTCAAGCAAGCTGCATTTCCAACTCCAGGGAACAGTTTGCAGGACTCCATTTCCCAGGGGTTCCTCTCCTGTCCTTCTGTTTCAATTCCATCACAAGCTGCTTCCAAAAGTCCTAGGTCAGTAACTGGGTTATTCAAGAACTAAGAGCACAAAAGGCACTGTGACCTCCAGCTTAGAGTGACCTCCCCACTCTTACACTTCAGTTAACTGGAACTCAGTTAACAGACTCAGCAAGACTGCAGTTAATACACAAGCTGGAAGCCCAGAATTCCTTTTCAGTCCAAGCCCTTCCCATCTGCTAGCAAGAAGCCAAGGCAGCAGCATCCTCTGTCACCTGCATGTCATACCAGGGGTTACTCCCCCAGCCCTGCCCCTCAGTGCAGCAGAGCCAGGGAGAACCCACAAGGACGGGATCAGACAAGGGTCTGACCCACATCCATCACCCCCACACACTGTCTGCAGTCACACAGATGTCCTGTCTGCATGAGTGTCCTCACCTGGTTGTGGGAGACCCACCAAGCACTGGTGACCACCCGTGCATCCCAGGCAGCACTGTAACACAGGGCCATGGTGCCTGCCTCTGTCAGGGTCCGGGGAGGGATCGGCTCACCTAGGAATCAACACCCAACATGTCAGGCAACCTGATCCATGCACAACAGGCTAAATTCTCCAACTTCCACACATGCCCTCATCCAGTCTGTGGGCTTTCCAGGGGCCCCAGGCAGAGACAACATGGCCTGGCTAAGCTTGGAGGCAACAGAGACAGAGCAGAAGCAGAGGCAGCAGCTACTCTTCACAGCCCCCAGCTGAGGCTGACACCAGCTGTGCTGCTGCTCCTGCCTCTGCTCAGCTCCTCCAGGGAGCAGGAACTGCTCCTCATCACTTTCACCATCTCCCAGGAGCAGGGCACAGGCAGGGTGTGCACAGCTGGTCTCCCAGGAGACCCATCACACCGTGCTAACACTTGTCTGCTGAGATCAGCACCCAAACTGCTTGTGCCACCAGCCAAAGCCTGGGCAGGACCCCAGTCCCTGCAGCAGGCACTTGCACCACCCTCTGGCAGTGACCAACACTTGTCTCTGTGAGCACATCTCCACAGCTCCTTCCCACCAGGGGCTGCACTGAGCCCTTGCAGGCAGCCTGCCATGGCTGGGAAGCTGCAGCAGTCACACAATCTGATCTGGGAAGGACTGATGCCCTTTACATCCCATGGGAAGCATCTGCTGGAGCTGGGTACCCCTGCAAGGGGGAGGGCAGCTGGCCTGGCTGGGCTCAGACCTGCAGTGACCAGCGTGTGGTGCCCCCAGGCTCTGGCAAGCCCCTGCACCAGCCCCACACAAGGTACCTGATGGGTTCTTGATCACACAGCTCGTGGCCCCATGGAGATCAGCATGCACATATATGTCCCCTGGAAAAGAAGTGACTCTGGTCAGTCCTACACGTGGGAACAACACTGACCACTCAAGCTAAGGTGAAGGTTTCAACATTAGCTGAAAACTGCTGTTGGGGCTGTGAGGAGCAGGATGGGAAGATGACACAGGAGCCTTTTAGTCCATCCCAGCTACTCCAGGGAGAATGAGCTCTTCTGCTCCTGAGGGGTCTGTCCTACCTCTCTGATTCCACAGTGCTGGAGGGTCTCATCTCCCACAGGAGAGCCCCCCCACTCCATGGCCATCACACACAGAGCCTCTGGAACCCACCATCCCCTCTTCCCTTTTACAGTCCCCTTTTACCCAAGTTCCAACTTAAGAACAAACCAGACCAGCCCTCCCGTGTCATTCTTTTACATTTACAGAACTGGCCCAGAGGAGAACCTGGAGCAGTTCCACCCAAGAAGCCCCTCACCTGGCCTCAGGTACCGCTTCACAATCAGCTCGTTCTGCTGCTGGTCTCTTCCAGCAATAACAAGGTAATTCTCAGAGCTAATGAACCACAGGAACTTCTCAAACCTGCCAAGTGACATCAACCCATTGAGTGAGAAAGACCTGGAACTAACAGAATGTCACAAAGGTGTTTTTTTAGACCAAACTCTAAGGATATCCCCCTTAGCACTTACTCCTTACAAAAGACACTGCAAATAGTTTCATGTCCATCCTTATGCTTTTTGCTTTTAACAACTAAATTATTAGACTATAAAAAGCTCAGGGGGGTTGGTTTTGGTTGCTTGTTACTGCCTTTTTCTTAAACAATCTGTTACTATTTCACAGAGCTGCCAGAAAGGAACAGTGAAGCTCCTTTGTTTCCACTAATCCCCTGTTCCTTGCTGTGTTAAAACCAAAAATCTACAAGCCCAAGGTACCTTCCCAGGCAACAGCACCAACAGGATCAGGCCAGCACCTCCAAGGAGCAATTGTAAAAAGACTCAAAACAAAGTGTAGTGCTTAGAAATCACAGTTAGCTGCAATTCTGAGCCAGGGAGAAGTCAGCCTGACACAGTGGATCTAAAACTGGGCAGATGCACAGTCCATGAGATAATGACAATGAAACTGTACTTGCCAATAGACCTTTCTGGCCTTCTGAATGGTGGTGACTGTCTGAACTTCCCTCAGGGTCTGCTTCGTCTTCTTCTCAGCAGATTTAAATGCCTGTTCAGACAGAAACCATGATGGCAATCTGCCAGCACAGCAGGCACCAAGCTGGAAACTGATCAGTGGGAGAGCTGGGAAGGAAACATCCCTGCAGTCCTGGGGAGCGCAGGCGCCACGTGCTCCCCCTGCACTGCCCTTGGGCACATACCAGGCAGGCCCTAAAATCTTCATCCAGCTCTGCCCCCCCCTGTGAAGTTTATCAGCTCTTGGATCATAAGGATTTCTTTGAATTTTCCACTCCTGCCCTCATATGTACTGGTCTGCCAACATCTCCACCAAGCACCTGCCTTAGATGTTCACACGCTGCTGGTGGAAACCAGATGATACAGGAGGGATCCCCAACCCTCTGCTGGGTCAGTTTTAAAGCTCAAGAACAAACCAGCCCTGGCTGGTTTTGCTTTTTGTCTCATTAGGGCTACCTAGACCACATTAGGATTGTCCACTGATCAGTGACAGGGACTTTGCTATTAAGTAACATCTCAAAACAAATTAAAAATTACCTTCTCTGCAGCTTCTACTGTCTTCTGAGTTTTCCTGGCTGCATGTCTCTTGTGGTCGTAGTACCTGGGAAGCAGGAGTTGGGTTTTAACTGAAATCCCAGCAGATTCACTCATATTTATAATGCACATATATATCCTAGTCCTACACCTGCCATTAGCACTCAGTTTTGAGATTAGTTTTGTTTAGCCCAGCTCTCCAGCTCAGTCCTCCCCAGGAAGAGAAGCCAGAGGAAGGTTGTTCCCTCCTCAGAGTGAGCACCATGTCTGGGTTAATGTTGTTCCACATGTCACTGTGCAGAATTCTGCTCAAAATTAAACTGAGGAGGCAGCCAGAGAGCAGCTGCTGGGCAGCAGTGGGATTTCTTGGGTTTGGACCAAGAAAATGCATGTCCTAGAGCTCAGGGCAAGCTAACAATTTTCATTTCTGACTTGTGTTTTTAAGCACAAAACCCTTCCAGTGATGTTCTCAACAACCACTGCAAGCACAAGCACAGACAGACTTTACTGCCAAAGCACATATTGAGTGTAAACCTTACTTTTTGGCATTGGCATATGCAGACAAACTGAGATCAACATCAACTAGTGATGGTTTGTTTTTCTGAGGTTTCTTCAACTCCTTGTTTTTATTCTTCTTCTTCTTTCCCTTCGGTTCTTCTGTTTCTTCTTTCTCCAAACCATCCTCCTCATCCTCCTCCTCTTCAGATAACACATATGGGTTCCTAAAAACAAATTATATTACAAAATTAACTAAGAGAACTGGTTATTTTTTAATCCTCAATGTACTCTTACTTCTATTCACACATGAAGACTAGCAGTGGCCTAAGGAACCCTTAAACCTGTGCAGCCACAGGAAGAGCCCAGGCTTAAAGACCATTTATGTCTTGGAGTCCAGAACTGAAGTTTGGGGGAAAAAAGAAATCAAAAAAAGAAATCAAAAGCAGAAGATAAAGTGCCCTTCTTTTCCAATCCAAGGAAGTGACATTTTGCAAGGCAGTTTCTTCTATCAAAAGTCATGCATCCAAGCTACCAACCTAGAGAAAAGTCTAGACTTAAAATGAGGAGTAGTTCTGAAGATCTACACCCACCAAGGAAGGCAAAGCATTCTGTGTCTGATCCCTGCATGGAGAGGGAACAGCTGCAACCTCGTGCTGACTCACTGGACAGGACACCAACGTGCTGCTGTAAAACAGCAAAACTACCTGCTCCACAGTTTCCAAGGAGGGATGCCAGCTGGGTTTGTATTTGCTTCTCACCAGGCCATGAAATCCTGCTTGAACCAGCTGTGTGGCACACAGTCTGTGCAGTTAAAAGTGGTGCAGCAGCACAAAACATCCCCCACAAACTGCAGTTAAAAGTGGTGCAGCAGCACAAAACAACATCCCCCACAAAAGGAAATGTCTCTCCAAACCCCTCTATGCTCAGGACACACCATCTGACACTTGGTGGATGGACTGAGCAGCCTGATCAGCAGAGTGATCACCACTGCTCACTGCCAGAACAGACAGAGAATGGAATCACAGTTACCAACACAAAACCTGCTGCTGAAAAATGGCTGATTCCATACACTAACATTTCTGGACGTGAGGTAACCAAAAATTCCTAAGCTGACTTTGCCACATCCCAGCTTCCATGCCAAAAGTTCCAGCTGTAAGAAAGAAATTGTCACTTTTTTACCTCTAGCATCCCAACACAGGGTCAGTTTTAAGACACTCCAAAGGCAGCCACACTGCCAGCTCTCCATCAGGACTTCCACAAGAACCAGCACCAGAACTTGCAGCTCAGCAGCTACAATCTTGAACCAGCCTGGTTCTGGTTTCACTGGGCTGCCTCAGCAGCATCAAAAGGGGAGGGATCCCATGTGAATTTTAGACCAAGGAAGAGTAAATCTGAAGGAGTTAACTGCTGGCTGACAGACTGGGACTTTGGACCTAGCCTGCCTTAGGACACCTTCCAATGGTTTAGAATATTGTCAGATAGACTCTAAAAATGCTAAAACAAAAGCTGTTAATCAAATTACTACTATTTTTGAAAGCAAAAAGGAAGGCATCCCTCTCTGATCCCAGCACTATGTTGTCCTCATGCTGCTGTAAGAAGAACCAAACATTTTAAACACCAAAGCACAAGCTAAAATGTCTCCTGGGCAGCTCACACAGCCAGTCCTACCTGCACCTGGGTGATCTGCACTCACCTCAGCAGCATCGTGATATGGTTGGTCTGAAGCTTTAACTCTTTGATTGCACTTGCAACAGGGTCTCCCTGGGCTTGAGCTTCCTTGACAATTGCTCCAATCTCTGTCCAGTCTATCTGGTTGGCCAAGGCACTACGGACCACCTGGATGGCTCGGTCAACGACCTCCAGGTTCATTTCTATCAGTTCTCCTTTTATCTTATCAGCTTCCTTAAGGGAAAAGAAAGAAAAGTTGATACCCACTGAAGCCAAACACACTCTCAGCAACAGTTTGGGAAAAAAATAAAAGCAGCAATTCATGCTGAGGTGAAATCCAAGATTGGCACTGAAGTGGTCACACAGGCCTATGGCCAACTTGGCTCTTGCACGTGGAGCAGCACAAGCCAGTTTTGGCTAGAGAGGCAGAAAGCACCTGTAAGGGAGCAGAGCCCCAGAGGGCAGGCCTGGGCTCCCTGAGGTCAGAGAACCACTAAGGTTGGACAAGACCTCCAAGATCATCAAGTCCAACCATCCAGCATCACTGCCAAGGCTTCACTTTGGGGTCTAACCCTGACCTGGGCAATGCAGACCAGCAGGTAGAACTCTTCAAGAAACATTCTCTACCTTCTTAGTTACAATACATCAATCTCAAGTCTCACCTGAGCTTGCTGAAGAGCCTCCAGTCTGTGCTCGTGATCCCTACGGACATTTTCAAGTTTCTTCAAGGCTTGTTTTTCCTTTCAAAAATAAGAACAATGGAAAAATAATGAAAACACAAATGGCATTTTATCACCTCATCACTGCAAGGCATTCAGCAGAGCATCCAGCACAGAAAATACAGCAGAGGAAGAGATGCAGTCTCCATGGTATTATTGCAATGCCATTGCTTGTATTCCAAGCAGAACCAACTGCTACATTATACCTCTTGAAACCTACTCCCTGACCATCACTGACTCAGCACTTCCATAGGAAAAATAAGGAATGCCACCTCCCTCAGCCCAGGGCAGAAGAACCAAACGAAGCATTGGAAGCTCAGGGAGCCACTTCAGCTGCCCCACTCTTGCCTACCTGCTGCAATGCTTTCAGATCAATCTTCTGCCCCTCCAACTTGGAGTAGAACTCATCTGCTGCCTGCAAGACAAAACCAGTTGAGAGATCTCCACGAGGAATTAACCTGTACCAGCAACAAGCAGGCAGAGGCTCTGCTCAAGAGAGGTGGCTGCAAAGCACTAGGAGACAGGTGCTAAAACAGGGTGCAGTCACCTCCTCCATTTTACTTTTGCATGAGACAAGTTCAGCAAGACACCCCAAGACATGTCTCATTGCAAACCAGGGGCTTTGCACAAGTAACTAACTGGACAAACTATGGCCCACACTTTTGCTAAGGAATGATGGAGAGGAAGCTACTGTGTGACACAATGTGCTCTTCAG